GAGTGGAGGGAAGGAAGAAAGGGAGGGAAGAGAAAGGCTGGGAAGGAATGAAGGGAAAGGCAGGGACATTCTAAATGTGACTCTTATTCTTCTTTTAGTTGTGAAAGTTCTGGGTTTCTAACAATCAAGCAAGGCAACAGTACACATAATGCAATATGTGGTTTCCCTGCTAAAGATCTGGAGCAAGGTACCTTCTCACAATGATTTGTTTCTTTGAGCCTGTAACTTTTCTCTACACTTCTTCAGTTGGTGACTTGCTGCATAGTTACCATCCAGAGCTTGCTATCATGAAAATTTGCTTTGAAAATTACTGTTGTATTTCTTGCAATATTAATATAGGTAGAATTGTTGACCTGCACAAAGATTCCACCATTAAAGCACTATCAGTAATAAAGGTAGAGAGAAGCCCAACAATTGTCCTTGAATAGAGCAAACTTATTTGGCAAATTATCGGAGTTTTCCATTGAACTGCTCTTGCTGTTTTTCTAGATTTTCTTAGAAAGACAATAGCTTAGTTAGTCATCCAGTTCCTTTACAAGTATTGGTTGAGTCCACAAGAGCTGGAATTGAAATCTCATGTCTTATCATGGATCAAATTAGATAGGAATACGTGGGTACAGGCTTTGCAGGTACTGAGTGTCTTGAAGACAGCAAGCTGCACTGCTCCTGCCTTTCCCCCCACCCTTGTCCCTACAGTGAATTGGTGCCTTTCAGGTCTGGGCCCTTCAGAGAAATTGTTAGTTCTGCTGAGACAAATTGCAAAAAGGTGCTACTTTTAACTTCTGTGAGGCAGACACAAATGTGACAATTTGGCTTGCTGTAGTGCTGTTCAGGGAAACATTGAAGCCAAATCCCCCCCAAAAGCAAAAACCAAAACAGAGTAGATAGATCAAGTGATAGCTGCAAGAGAGAGAGAGATTGAACAACGAAGAAATCAGGCATGTGGGGTTTTTTGCATGAATGCTTCTTACCACAGACAGTGATCTATTGCACCCTTGACTTAGAGCATCGCAGTTTTATTGTTAATACCCGCACTGGTTTTTTTCCTTGGAAAATTATTTTCCACAGAAAGAGGAAATTAATCTCTAAATTTCCTTGGAAGAACTGCCTTTCCTTTAACAATAGTTTGGGCACATGATTTCTTAATCTTTATTAAATATATTTAATTGCAGCTCCTATTACAAATGACTCTCGATATACCACCATCCTGGCCATCCTTACTGCAGTGGCTGTATTTGTTCTCATCTTGCTGACCTTCTTCTTGCACTTCTGCATATGGTCACTGAAGAAAGAAAAATACCACACAGCTGACGGTAAGTGCACCTTTGTGGACTTCTGTGTAGCTTTTCAGTGGCGAACGATGTGTCTGTTGATCCAGGGTCAGAACGGAATAAATTAAGTTGAATAAATAGAGTAAATACAGATTTACTCTGTGATTTTGGGCGGGTTACTTAGTTTCACTAAGATGCAGTGCATCACCTGTATCTTTGTCCTTTCTTCAGAGAGAGGCTGTATTGGTAAAGGTAACGGGCAGCTAACTGGCTTCTGTGAAGACCTCTTGTATGTGCAGTGCTTTTGCTTATTCTCACTGCAGATCTGGAACATAACTTCCCTAGGCTGCCGGTGGCTTCACAACCACCACACCAGAGAGAAGAGACTTACAGCTGCCAGTTTCCAGAAGAAGAACATGGAGACAAAGCACCAGAAGAAAAGCCTTGCTATTTCCACCCTCAGAGTCTACAATGAAAACAGATAAATTGCAATGTGCTGTGAGAATGGGGAGCTGAGCTCAGCTTTTCAAAAAAAAGAAGGGAGGGGCTGGGTGCGTAAAGCATCATTATATACATAGCAATAAGGAATGGGTTTGGGGGGAGTTTCCCTTTGTTTCTTCTCAACAAACCTAGCATTTAGAAACAGAAAAACTGCTAAGTCAGGCTGACATTCAGTTCAGCTGCATTGCGTTACTGCAAGTTTCCTGGGTTGTTGGAGGTTTTTTTCATTGATGCTCTTTTCAACTTTGTCTGGGACCAGGGGCCCTTCTTGTCATTATTGCCCTTTGCATCTTCTGCACGTGTCTCTGTGGTGCTCCCACAGATTGATACGCGCGTAGAAGGCTGGCGTCCCGCCATCAGTCCCTTCAGTGCTACAGGAAATACAGTAGTACCTGTCGGGCACTCTCACAGCTTTCACAGGCTATCCGTATTTCCAACTATTTATCCTCTTCTATAACTCGGCAATCCTTGGTGCCTGGAATACTGAATTACGAAAGGGAGACTTCTGAAAGGTGCAAATGAGGATCACGCTGTCTAGAGAAAGACATTCGGTTTGATGCTCTCTTCTCACCTAGTTTGTAG